GAAAGGGCTGGCCTACAGGACAGCACAGAGGCACTCATCATGGCTGCACAGGAACAGGCCCTGAGCACCAGAGCGATAGAGGCCCAGATATACCACACCAGACAAGACCCAAGGTGTCGGTTGTGCAAAGAGGCATCTGAGACGATCCAACACATAACTGCAGGGTGCAAGATGCTGGCAGGGAAGGCCTACATGGAACGCCATAACCAAGTGGCTGCATAGTGTACAGAAACATCTGCAGAGTATGGGCTGGAAACTCCAAGGTCTAAGTGGGAAACTCCTCCAAAGGTGGTGGAGAATGAGCGTGCGAAGATCCTGTGGGACTTCCAGATACAGACCGACCGAATGGTAATGGCGAACCAACCTGACATCGTGGTGGTAGACAAAGGGCAGAAGAAAGCCGTGGTGGTAGATGTGGCAATTCCAATCAATGGCAACATCAGGAAAAAAGAACACGAAAAGCTTGAGAAATACCAAGGGCTCAGAGAGGAGCTGGAGAGGGCCTGGAGAGTAAAGGTGACAGTAGTGCCCGTGGTGATCGGTGCACTCGGGGCAGTGACCCCGAAGCTGGAAGAGTGGTTACAGCGGATCAGACATCTCGGTCTACTGCGCAGAACCCTCAAGCTCCCAGAGGGATAACCGCTCGCGGAGGGCCAAAGGTGAATGGACGATTTTATATATATATATATATATATATATATATATATATATATACATAGAAAATATGCGGCTCCAGTCAAAACACATGTTTGTGCTGATGGTCATTGGTATTAGATCAGCTCCATACATATCACCTGCGAGACGCGGCCCATCCCTCGCTGCTCTTAGTAGTAGTAGTAGTAAGTAGTAAGTAGTAAGTAATCTTTATTTATATACCGCCTTTTCCCTGCACATCGGAGTCTCAAAGCGGTTTACAATTGTTATTTTTGGGAGTGGGGGTGCCAGTACAGGAGGCACATGCCATACCTATTGTACATATTTTTAGTGGTAGGGGAAAAACCGGAGCACCCGGAGGAAACCTACGCAGACACGGGGAGAACATGCAAACTCCACTCAGAAAGGCCCTGGTCCAACCGGGATTCGAACCCAGGTTCTTGCTGAGAGGCGAGAGTGCTATCCACTCAGCCACCGTGCCGCCTTACCATGTGGACGAGCCGTTGTTTGCTGCTAAAGCTTTAACCCAGCACAGAAGAATGGGAAGATTTAAAAAGTTCTTTGTGCGCAAAGGTGCCAAAGCTCCGCTCGGCTCTGACCCAGTAGAACACATAGCTGGATATATGAAAAGTGCATGGCTCGAAATGGCTGTTATTTCAAAGAACGTGGAATATTTTAAACTATGCGGTTAACCGGTTTTAACCGGCTAATGAGGCTTGATGGTCGGTCATGAAAATTCATAGTGTTTTACATCCCTAATCAGTGTAGAATGTGTAATTGTTGTCCTAATGCAATTTTCAAGAAAGAGAACACTATATAATTCAATTAATTAGTATCTGACACCTCTGACCGAACGCCACATGACTGAAATATCACACAAGCACATCAAACCATGGTCCAGTCCAACAGGCTGTTTTAGGCCTTAGTTCTGAAGCAAACCTGGCTAAACCATTAGGGACGTCCCACACCAATGGATTGTCCATCTGTGCGTGTCTATTAGCTCTGTTTTAACGCAAACACAACGTCTTCAGGCTTTCCTCTAAATTAACCCATGTGCTGTGGAAAAAAACAATAACCTCGCTTGATTTAGTGGATTCCTGACAGAAGTAATCCATGCACAGAGCTGAAATGACCAGTTGTTAAGTGACGAAAATGGGTTCCTCTCTAAGCCAATGAGTTCAACAGCTTTCCAAGTCATCCAAGGTCCAAATATAGAAAAAACAACAAGTCGCCGAGTATGTTAGCAGACACAGACGCAACTAATTTCACGAACATATAAATACTGAACAAAAAATATACGGCTATTATCACTCGGTGAATGGAAATGACTCATACAGCTGGAGTTTACATGAAGTCTCTATGGAGATGTGGAAATATAATCTAGAGACGGGAAAAGCCTCAAGTCAAAAAATCTGTGCACTGTATTATGTAGAAACTAATAGTTACTTTTTGCAACATCACAGAGTGCGTTTCTATAGGCAGTTTCTAAATATGGCCCAGGTACACAACCTGACTCAATCTGGGATTATCTCAGTATAAATGCAGGCTCAGACCAATCTTGCCTTAGTATACATGCAGATTCAGACCAGTCTTGTCTCAGTTTACATGCAGACTCAGACCAGTCTTGTCTCAGTTTACAGTACATGCAGACTCAGACCAGTCTTGTCTCAGTATACATGCAGACTCAGACCAGTCTTGTCTCAGTATACATGCAGACTCAGACCAGTCTTGTCTCAGTTTACATGCAGACTCAGACCAGTCTTGTCTCAGTTTACATGCAGACTCAGACCAGTCTTGTCTCAGTACACATGCAGGTTCAGACCACTATTGTATCAGTATACTGTCCAAGAGATCATTTCCAGTCTTTCCTCCACATGCAGCCTGGATGTATTGCCCACTAGATTTCTAAACTCTGTTCTGAGCAGCTCTAATCAGTTTGTTAATTTCAGTCACACACATGGCTCTGGGAGTTTTGCTCACCGTTCTTGTGATCATTTTATTTTTTCATACTGTAGTTTTTCCACAGGAAATTTTTATATTTATAATCTGGTCCCTGGTCCAGGTTAGACGTGGTTTAAATCAGGTGAATATAGCCTATCCTGGCTCTATTAAAAAGCCCTTTGGGTTAGTATGGACTTCATAGAGCTATCTGGTTACGAAGGGAATCTCGAGTCAGTTAGGTGATAAGTTTTGTCTGTGTTTATGGGCAAAAACGCGTCCAGAGGACTCCCTTTGTAACTTCCTACTATAGATCACTGTGGGCCGAATGAAAGATTAGACTAACATGTGTTTATATCATTAATCTGTCAACGTGAATGACTCATTCCTTTTTGTGTTTCTGTTTTTATAGTGCTCTTTTTATAACAAATATGAATAAAAATAAAATAAAATAAATACTTGTTGACGCTCTTTAAAGGATACATATTCTCATTTTTATGGCCTTTAAATCCAATCCATTCCACTTTATTCATATAGCACATTTCATAAACACAGTTTCCAAAGTGCTGCACAATGAAAGACTAATTAAAACAAATCCATGGTAAAACAGTAAAATCCTTAAAAATCAAATAGGAAAAACCGTGTGTGCATTTTGTATAAATTTTAAAATAAAATGGGTCTTAAGACGAGACCTAAAACACTCCACAGAGGGAGCAGTTTAAATATGGGGGGCAGAGCGTTCCAGAGCTTTGGTCCAGCCACAGAGAAGGCCCTGTCCCCCTGGGTTTTAAGTCTCGTCCTAGGTACCACAAGCTGAAGCTGGCCTTCGGACTTCAGCGCGTGGGGCGGGAGGTAAACATGAGGTCCGAGAAGGAGGCGCCAGTACATTCAAAGCTTCAAAACAAACAATAAAATCTTAAAATGTATTCTAAAATGAACAGGAAGCCAGTGTAACAATGCCAAAACTGGTGTAATGTGATCGCGCCTTCTGCTTCCTGTCAAAAATCTTGCCGCTGAGTTTTGAACCAACAGCAGACAGGAAAGTGCGTTTTGGGGGATGCCTGCATAAAGTGCATTGCAATAGTCCAGGTGTGAAGAAATAAAAATTGTGCATGACCATGAACAATTGTTCAGAGTTCAGTTTTTCCATTGTCTCCACACACGGTGATGACGGAAGCAACTCGCCAAACACTCTGGCGCATCAAAGCCCCAACCAACACCATAAAATGACCTGTGACTTACTTTAATTTAATTTAGGAACATTTTGGGCCAACCAATCTTGGAGTACTTATCATTTTTGATTAATGGCATGTAAATCTGACAATCATCAGCATAGTGATAAGTGATAAGACATGCCATGTATAAAAAATAAATTTAAAAAAGTCACTATGTGGGAGCAGGTACAGGGCAGAAAGAAAAGGGCCAAGAATTGAGCCCTGGGGAACTCCACAGTGCAAAGGGTGAAGGACCACTCACAACAGGTATGATCGAAACCAGACAGGGCGGTCCCCCTACGGCTATCTGTCAACTAATCATACAAAAAAAACGTCAGCCCACTTTATGAATGCTAAAAGGTTTAATTAATTACTGCAAATAAAGTAGTTCCCACACTAACATGGCTAGACGAGTAACAGCTAGGCTAGCAACTTTTTAAACTGGACGTTTTGTTGAAGAAACTCTCTTGAACTACATGAAAACTAAAAAACAAAGAATTCTGAACATCAGCGATGAGTGACCCGTATATACGCACACACACACACACACACACACACACACACACACACACACACACACACACACACACACACACACACACACACACACACACACACACACACACACACACACACACACACACACACACACACACACACACACACACACACACACACACACACACACACACACACACACACACACACACACACACACACACACACACACACACACACAACCTAAATCAATAATCAGATCACAGTGTTTAAATGTTATTTGTGTTTATAGAGCGAAGCTATACCCTCATTCGAATAGCTACTTATTTATATTAAACTGGCCGGACTACTTGCGGAGTAATCTAACACACCTGAATTACCGGCACAAAGTCATTATTGGTTTGAGAGGACAGTTATCAAGAAATAATGACCAGTAGAACGTTTTGGGACTACATACAAATCAATGGAGTGTCCTACTTCTACTGTGAGGAGCCATATAATAATGTGCCATAATTTAACAACAACAATAACAATAAATGCTAATTGAAATTTCATGTTCTACTATGTTTGGATCAGCCTTACAATCCCTAATTGCACGTTTATCCATATAATATCTACTTCCAATTTTCTCAAGATCAAACTTTAAATCAACATTTGATTTGAGTAAATTGGAAGTCATTGGTGTATGTGGCTCACGTGTGTCCGATCTCGTGGGCGATGGTAAAGGCAGTGCCCAGTCCAATGTCCTCGTTGATGCTGCAGCTCCTCTCTGGCTCACACATGCCGCCCACCGGAGCTAGACCTAACATATTAGACACACGCTTAGAAAAATGACAGGAATCCAAACAATTTACCTTTTATTCTTTTTGTCCACCCTTTTTCAAATTAAAAGGATTAAAAGTCCTCAAAATACTAGCCTGGCCTTAGCCATTCGTACACTCCGCTCAATCATAATTTCACTGCATGTAACGTCTGGGTCTAGTCCCTGGGTTAGCGATTACAATCGGTTGAATTTCGACCAACCATTCAGAGAGCACGGAAGGCAGGTGTTGGAGTTAGTTGTGGGTGACGTAAAGAGTTTGCGTCGAATGGGAAGGTTGTAGTTTGGTAATGGCGAAAAATGCAATAGTAAAGTAATCCGGTCTGGTTTGATCAAGAAATTGAAGCCGGAGCAAGAGATGTTTAGCAAATGTAATCGCTGGAATAAATTGTGGCGCTACTCCCCACAGGCTGTGTTAGCGGCAAAGGAGATGGCTAGGCTAAATGCTAAATGCTAACGACTCACTCGGGCGCATTACATTCGTCACAGTAAACTCAGATCCAATCGTTTCAATCTGCAAAAGGAGTTAACCCCTCCCACCTGTAAACGGAGCTCAATGGAGCACCTCCAGACCTTAGTACGAAATGTAATTTGTACTATGGTGTGGTACGACCAGGCTATCAAAATACAGCAGAAGCTGTATTTCATTAACCCAAAAGGGCCTGTCCAGTTAAAACTGCTCTTTTATCTGCTTTCATTGAGTTGTATCGTGGCGCGCTAAAACATTCATTCAGTCGTGTCCAGTTAAATAATGCTCTCATTGAGTTGTGCTGTGCCACAGCCTTTGACTTACCTAGCGTCTCACAGGGCTTGTTCTTTTGGATGCAGATATCATACCTACAGAGACAGGAGTGCAAGTGTTTACAGAGGAAATGTGCAGTGCAGTTGCCAGCACACAGTTTCTGGTGTGATCTTGACAAATAGAGCATGTAACTGCTCTCAAGGGTCCAACACATCATTCAAGTATGTTTGACCTGACAAAACTGAGAGAAGCTATTATCAAAGAGCGCTTATATCCTTATCACAGTGAATATTTTGGATGTGACCAATTTGGGAGAAAGAGAGCGATCAACTTAAGAACTAATAAATACACGTTTGCCTGCTACAGTGAGAATCTAGAGACCTTTTTTATTGTAAGATTTAACATGTTCAAAATACACGTTCATTTTTAGGGCTGTATCAAGTATACGTTTAATGAAAACACCATGGTATGTAAACTTACAATCTTCACCATTTTAGTAGTTTCTATTGGTTTATATTATAAATTTGAATCAAAAAAGTGTAGACACAGTTGTTTGATAAAAACAGCTGAAATGAACCACTAATAAAAGTTTACCGTACTTTTAATGTTCATATAAAAAGGTCTGAACTGTAACCTGCAAAACTGACTCGGCTTAGACCACAGATAAAGTTGATGTGACTCAAAACAGAAATATGCTTTCTTTTCCATTGATTTAAATAGATAGATTTCCATTCTATGCCATAGATAATAATGAACCACATAGAATAAAATAGAATACTCATAGAATCTCACTATAGCAGGCATGTTATGTCTTCTTCAAAACTTCTTCAACAGTAATCTTTTAAAGAATACGGCATCTGTATTGGCAAAAACTTAAAACTTTAAAAGTGACCTTCAGATTTGTGAGGGGCGGCCTGTACCCACAGTGATATGACACAGATATACAGTAGTTTGACTGGAACAATAGCAGGAAACCAGGGACGGTCACGGCGGTGTCTTCAGTCTGGACAGCTCTGCCCTGTGTTTGAACACTGGTGTAACAGGCTATATTCATCTATCGTTGTAACAACATAATCATTTTAAGCAGAGTGGGCGGGTGTGAAATAGAGAAACATCAATCCTGCCCATATGAACATGCTATAAGATGAGCCCAAGGATGTTATCTGTATTGTCAAATTGTTAATAGGGCTGCAAAATGAATCACACAATATTTGTCTGTTCGCAATAATGCACTGCAGACAAAAAAAAACTGTTTTGTTCAAGAGTAAGTAAGTAAGTAGTAAGTTTTTATTTATATACCGCCTTTTCACTGCAGATCTGAGTCTCAAAGCGGTTTACAATTGTTAATTTTGGGCATTTGTCTCTCACTCCACACAGAGATGGGAGCGGGGCCAGTACAGAGATGCTCGCTTGGTAACTAACTTTAAAATGTCAAAACATGTTTACTATAGGTGTTTGCATATCAGTAACAGTAGGAAACAATGTGCTGTTTGGACCTGTGACAGCTTTTCCCTACAGGGAAGACAGTATGTCAAAATAAACTTAATTTAACAAAACATCTGTCTTCTAAAGTCACAGCACGGTGCACCCAGGGTTAGAGGGAATCCATTATAATGAACAACGACAAGCATATAATCCATGTGGAGCAATATAAACATTTATATAGAAACCCTAACTCTCACAGTAAGACCTCCACTTTTGTTACAAGGCTTGTTATGCAAAAAATTGTCCTTTATGTGATTTTTATGTAGTTTTATAACCTTCTTTACTTGAGCCACACATAAGCAATGACAGAGAAAATACTTTTGTTTCATTAACGTCTAAAATACAGCTACATTTGGTTGCAGTGTTCACACTGAACACAGCTGACCCAAAAGTCTAGGTAAGTAAGTAATCTTTTTTTATACAGCACATTTTTACAGATCAAGGTCACCCAAAGCACTTGTTCAGAGTTCTGATATTCTCCACACACAGTGCGAGACGTCGAACACACTGGCGCATCAAAGCCCCCAACCAACACCATCCATTCACTCTCTCATTACATTCATTCCTATTGTGCATGTTTTCAGTGGTAGTGGAAACCGGAGAACCCGGAGGAAACCTGCGCAGATATGGGAACATGAAAACTCCACTCTGAAAGACCCTGTTCTGACCAGGATTCAAACCCAGGACCTTCTTGCTGAGAAGCGAGAGGGCTATCCACTCAGCCACCCAGATGGCGAGGTGGGTTAGATGCCTAGTGGTTCTGACAAAAAAATGAGCCAATGCTTCTATTGCTAGCTTTCACATGTATGTACTTACTTATATGTGCTACACTTTTCCAGACAAAAAAAGTGAATTTGAGAGGACCACCCTCAATCAGCCAATCATCTCTCAGCCAAATAGTCAAATAGTGACCCACAAGGCACCTTCTTACAAGTATGCAAAATATAACAGCATACAAATCTATTTTCTCTCATTATAGAACAATCTCGTGCGAGGACGTACAGCAAAAAACAAGTTCCCCGCGGTCACGCGTGCTCCCCCCAAATAGTGAGGGGGGCGCCCCCACTATTAGAGAAGGACTGCTCCTCCCTTCCATAGACTTTAACTCAGACAACGAGAACGCCACTGTCAACTACTGTAGTAGATGAGCAATTACTTTATTTTTACTTTATTCAAGTACGACAAAAAAAGCCTGTAGCACAAGGTCACACACACCCTCCTTGGCATCGGACCACGCCCCCAGGGGGGCGGGCCCCACTATTTGACAAGCACTACTTTAAGGAAACACTAAATCGAACACTAAATGTTCTTTCTGTTATTTTCTATATCTCCATCCTCCATCCTGAATGACATGAAATTAAGGAGGCTCACAATATAGTAATCAAACCAATTATGAAAAAGTAAATTTTATGAAAGGCTATCCTTGTTGTGCAGGCCTACATTTATCATTACGTTAAGCCTAGCGTACATCGGACTGGCAACTGATTATATCCGTCGCATATGAGTTGCTGCCAGGGCTGGACTGGCCATCGGGCGTACCGGGCAATGCCAGAAGGGCCGATGCCCATATTTGGACCGGTCTGTCTGCCTCATACAAAACACATGTTTATGAAAAGTGTAAATCCGTTGAGAAATGTTCGAGGGGAACGCGCGTGTCCGCGGGGCACCTGCTGTATGTACTCGAACGGGATTCCACCACCTCAGCGGCCGCAGTGTTCCCGCATCCAGCAGCTCTGAGCTGGACGCGGGAACCGCTCAATGGGAGCCGCTCACAACACAACACGGTGAGCGCGTAGCCGCAACGTGACCATGTACCCAAGACCATAAACGCGCACAGGACCATGCATGTCTTTGCGTAATTTGTGCACCCAATAAATACACCGCTGCAGAAAACAGTCCGCGTCTCCCCTCTCCTCAAAATTAAAGCTCGGGTACCTAAATTTTCCTTTGCATTAAAAGTTGATGTTTGAGCCCAAAAGTAAAATGTTGTGAACAGATTAAACAGATTTAGAGCCAGCTAATGGCTGACAATATGCATTACATAAATGTTTACCAATTCTCATCCCTGTAACAAACAATAGTATTGTCTGTGCCCACCTCCCTCACTCTGAGACATTTTTATTACTCTGTTTAATGTAGACTATTGTACTTTGTTTTATTGTTGAAACTGCAGACATCCTGATCCTCTACAGTATTTGCTTCCACATACTGTATAAACCAGGGGTCGGCAACCTTTAGTGCCCCTAAAGTGGCTCCTGGAGCCTTTTCAAAAATTTCTGAAAATGGAGTGTGAGGGCTATATTTTATTTCTAGTTTGAATGTGGTTTTTGTAGGAGGAAAAACATTCTTGACGTTTTTCAATTCTGCAAAAACTTGTATAAGTAATATTCAATTTAAACATTTCTGTCAACGTAGTGCGTCATATCCTGTGACGCGGCCCGTGCCAGGCGGCTGCTGCTGTAAACAAACCGGCGTGTGTGCATTATAGACTGTGTGTGCCCAAAGATAAAGAGAGAGTCGATAAGACTGGACTAAGAATGAGAATGAACATTTGCTTTCAGTCACTGAGGAAGGACTGCTTCATGTTTGCGATGTAATGAAAAGTTTTGTTGTAACAGGAGGAACAATGAAGCTTTAAACACTGTTCACTGAAAGATTCATTCATCATAAAGTCAGAGCACCTATTTTCAGACTTCAAATACCTTCGCAAAGACGGCGAAAGAAAAGGCCATTAAGGACAGTCACCTCCAGCAAACTTCAGCCTGTGATGTGATCGATATGAACAGACAGTGATGCAGGTGAACTCGGAGCCAAAAAGCAGATTTATTTACTGTATTTGTACAATTGCATGAAGGTTAAACTTAAAGCAGAGTCGTCACGTGGTGCGTCATTCTCTCCAGGACACGCTGCAATGAAAATACACATTTGATAATCATGAATGGTTTTTATGTGTTTGTAGCCTTTACTTTGTCATTTAGATATTAGGCTAATATAGCTAATATAGCTAATGTAGCTAAGGTAGCTAATGTAGCTAATGCAGCTTCAGCCCGTTACCTTCATATAAGCCTTATACAACGCTTTTTTTTGCGGCTCCAGACAGATGTTGTTTTTAGTTTTTTTTTGTCAGTTTTTTTGTTTTTGGGCCGCTAAGAAGGAAAAAATGCCCGGGCCGTTTTTTTGTCCCAGTCCAGCCCTGGTTGCTGCCCCGCACACATTGACAATCTGACGAAAACGGGCAACTCCCAGTAGCAGACCAGTCTCGGGAATAACAGCGCGTACATCGACAGCAACTGGCCTCAACTACAGTGTGTTTTCTGACATAAACTGTTGCGGGCTCGCAACACACGCACGTTGTCGGAGCGGCGCATGGAGCGCGCACATTGGGTCATATCTCCGAAACTGAGGACAACTAGTTGCCGAAAAGTAGAACACGGGCAACTGACTGAAACTGGAGACCGACTGTTCATCTCCAGTTGTAAGAGCGCGCACATCGACCGATTTCGGCAACTGATCATCTCCCATCATCTCCTCTCAGTTGCCAAAAGCCGCCTTGCAACTAGTTATCTCCAGTTTCTTTGTCGATGTACGCTAGGCTTTAGACCCAAAACATCACTAAAAATAATTAAGCTATTGATAAATGAGAGTGAGAGTGAGCCTACTGTATATTCATAGCGTTTTTATTTTTATTCCCAAACAAGAGTTTTCTGAAGTGAGTGGCTGGCTAACCGAAACAAAAACAAAAAACAAGTGAAGAAAAACTTGTTTTCATCCCATCACATTTTCTTTCTAATTTCTCGTCGTCGGTTTTGCAGCTTTTTTTTCTGTTTCTCCATCTCACGACAGGTAAATGATGATTTTGCTGTTGTTGCATGCAACGGCAGCCTGTCAAAGCAGGGGGCACTGTTGACTCTATGGGGCGCTGCTGTCAAGTGCCCCGTATTATAAAACATCCATGCGCTGAACCAACCAAGAGGGTGTGATGGGGCACTCTCCATTGCGCGCAGACAAGCTTATATTTATTATTTATTTATTTCCTTCTAGCGTTTGGCGCCCCCCCTTCCTTTGGCGCCCTTATGCAAGGCATACTGTGCATATACCCTTTTTGCGCCACTGGGTGCATTTCTTGAAACGTGAACCCACATTTGAACTCATAAAGATAGTAATTGCACAGGCCTTGATTCTTGTGGTTGTGCTTGGCAAAGGTATTTGTGGCAGCTCAGGTCATATTGAGATGACTGTCGCCAAACTGTGGCTGTGTTTGCACATTCCAAACTCAACAGCGTCAGTGTCCTGTGTGACTGCTGCACACCCCATTCACAAGTGTGGGAACCAGAGCAGACCACTTGTGTATGGTGAAGGCTCCAACTTTGGTCAAATCTAAGACGATTCAAGACTAAGTTCTAAACAATGCAGGCAGATATTTATTTGTTTCGGAGATGTCACTTTATTGTACATATATCCTGCATGTCACTTTATTGTACATATATCCTGCATGTACATATATACATATATGTACATATATCATATGTACATATATGTGTACATATATATATGCAGGATATATGTACATATATGTACATATATCCTGCATGTAACATGTTTGCACATTTCCTCCCTTTGCACAATCTGAGTGTCTCTATCCATGCCAAATGTGACATGTAAATTTCTCCTCTGTGAGATAAATAAAGCAATCTTATCTTATCTTAGATAATGAAGGATAACACAAAAACTACTTTTTCACTTATAGTTGCCATTTGTTGTCAAATCAACATTTTCAAACTAAAATGTCCCTTAAACGTCTTTTTTTCCATGCACGCCTTTTAAAAACTTTTTCATTTGATCCATCCATAATTGTGTAATTATTGTCTTCCCAAAGACAGAATTTATGACATGCAAAACTCTAGAATTAGATGTGATTTAAGTCCATTCCGCCGTACAAATACTATGCTAGTCTAAATAAAATTAAACAATTTAAAGGGGGTTTCATTCTTGTTTTAAGTATTTGAAGCACACACAAGGGAATGTTGTCTCCAGCTGGAAGGACATTGTAAACTATTGGAATGTGCGCAAACCAGTGATCGTCTCATCCACGGTTGGTTGTATTCAGATGTACTACTGCACTGTACTAATGTTAAATCACCATTTTCATTGCAGAGAAGAGCATACACTTTGGCCTTTACATAGATCGGTCGTCCTGGTCCCTTTGCAGAAAAACAGCCCCAAAGATGTTTCCACCCCCATGCTACACAGTAGGTATGGTGTTCTTTCGATGCAACTCAGCTTTCTTTCTCCTCTAAACACGACGAGTTGAGTACCAAAAAGTTCTATTTTGGTTTCATCTGACCATATGACATTCTCCCAATCCTCTTCTGGATCATCCAAATGCTCTCTAGCAAACTTCAGACGGGCCTGGACGTCTAACACAGCAGGATTTGCGTCCCTGGCGGCGTAGTGCGTTACTGTTGTTACTTTTGGTCCCAGCTCTCTGGTTCTGGGATTTTTGCTCACCGTTCTTGTGAACATTTTAACCCCACAGAGATCTTGCGTGGAGTCCAAGATTGAGGAAGATCATCAGTGGTCTTGTATGTCTTCCATTTTCTATTAATTGCTTAGAATAATTGATTTCTGCAATAGGTGAGCAGCCTGAATCTGCTTACCTATTGCAGATTCAGTCTTCCTACCCTGGTGCAAGTCTAAAATTTAGTTTCTGGTGTCCTTTGACAGCTCTTTGGTCTTGGCCATATTGGAGTTTGTAGTGTGACTGTTTGAGGTTGTGGACAGGTGTCTGTTATACTTATAACGAGTTCAAACAGGTGCAGATACAGGTAACGAGTGGAGGAAGGAGGAGCCTCTTAGGCCCAGTTTTTTACGGAGGCGCTGTGCAGACGTTGCCAAGCTATTAACAGAAACGACAAGGCACCGTATGCAAATTTCACAGCGTTCATACACGGATGAAAAACGATGTAGTTCTAGTGCCTGGCCAGTAGTGGGCAGAGGAACTTTACAACATGACACACGTGAGCCCCAGCCCCCCCAGCAGTATACTCACTTCCTCAACAACATCCTCCTCAGGCGCCGCAAAGACGTGAAAGAATGCACCAACATCATTCGGCATTTTAACAGCAGCTGTGAAACACGTAGTTAGTGTACCCACAGCCATTGTTGTTTATGTTTGTTCTCGGCTACTGCGCATGTCCAAATTTACGTGTGGGGGGAGCGGGGAGGTGGGGGTCAGAGCAGCAGAGAAATCACACCTTTTTCTTCAAGCAGGTGTGAAAGAGCGCCTCGCTGAGCAGCGTACCTGAGCTGTCCCACTCTATAGGCTGGTTCTTAACGCTTACGTTTTCATCCCCCTGAAACACAGTCTCCATGTGAACGGGGGGTAGCAACCAACATCCAACTATAAAGTTTTACTGCAGCATTGTTTCCGTCTAAACGGGGCCTTAAAGAAGAAGTTACAGGTCTATGAGAGCAAGGAAAAAGCAGAGGATGAAATGCCCTACAGGGATAAATCAAGAGTACAAACTATTACGACAACACAAGAATTAGTAATTAATACCTAGGAGTA